GCTCCGTTGCAAGCAGTAAAATTAAATCCAAGGTTTCCGAAATAAAATTTGATCGTCAATGTTGAGCCTTAAGCTTTTGTAGGGGGGAGGGGGCATGACAAGACTGCACTCTGACTGCCTTTAGATTAAACTGGCTGATCTAGGACCCCAACCTTTCGGCGCACTTTCACCCAAACGGGGACTTCTTAACAGAGTCATGTATAAGACTGAACTGTTTTTGAAAGCGATAGAAGTGTTCCGTGGTAACCAAGTGACCTTTGAAAGGGAAAATAGGCACCGTGCGGCTAAAAGGGCGGGTAGACAAGGGGTAATGCGTATCTAAAGAGCTTTGAATTCATAATGAGGGCTCTGATAACTCAGAGATCATCTCAGTAGACAATGAGCCCTGGAGTAGCCCGCGGGTTAGCTCCTCGGTAAGCTGACAACATCTAAACACTTAGTGTGCCCCTAAGACAGGTGTCCAAAAGGCCGATGATTATAGAGATATTATCTGAGTCGCTGGGCCGCTATGCCGAATGAGTCGCTAAGCGGCCAGTGAGCCATCAGCAACCAAACAAACACTTCGATGGCCGGAAAAGTCCACAAGCGATCCAAAGTTCGCCTCGTGACCAGGGGCCTGGGCGACCAGTGTGGTCCCTAAGCTGTCAGAGAGGAATACCACTCACCAGAGGCTCGTCGGTAACCAGAGAAGCCAGAGCTGATCGCGGCCAGAAGAGCGCTGATCCTCTAAAACGGCTCGTGAGCGGCCAGAGGGGCCCGGAATACATAGATGATCGAAAGGTCAGTACGGCCGTGAACGGATGTTGCCGGAGGGGCTTTACGTCGCACGAAGCTTCTGAGATTGTGTGCCAAATGGCGCCACATGCTTCTCACCCTAGCAGAAAGGGTGAGCACAGAGGAAAATCAAGCCCAGTATCTCTGGTTTCCCCGGCGCGTATCTCAACCACCACACCAAAGCGGTCCAAGAGGGCCTGGGTAGTTCCGAGGTTGTTCTGTGTGCTGAAGGACTTTTAACTGACAGACAGCCTCTGAGAAGCTTTTAAGCCCCTACAGCGGCTAGAGCGCCCACGGTAGCCAGCTGAGGCCCATGCAGTCGTAACAGGAGCCTCTGGGTCGCCAAATGGTTCCTAGTGAGTAGGCAGAGGATGGGTTCTACTCATTCAGCACGGACATTTTTTCTACACGCTGCACGCAGAAAAAACAGCCCTGCGTACACCTGCACAAAACCTCAGGTTTTGCGTCTTACGGGGTCAGAGTAAAATGCTATCCCCACCCTCACCCATAATCCTACCCCATACCCTACATCATCTCTAGCCGTGACTTCAGTTGTGGCAAGGTGATTTTGACGACTATTTCGATGGGGATCCTGAACAGGCAGAAATAAATGTCAGTGACTGGAGAATTGTTTGGGGGACACGATGGTCACCGAATTACTAGACAGGCTACTTCAGAGCCAGATCTCAGAGGGGCAGTAGGGGCAATAGGCTTGCAGGCAGCCTTGGACATTTACTGAGCTCCTGGGCGTCCAGAGTGCCTCTGACCGGTCTGGGAGTCCATCAGGGCCCCTGGGCGATGGAGGAGGCCTCCAAATGACCGAAAGGGCCTTGAGCACTTAAGAAGACCCCAAATATCCAGAGAGCTTTGTAGATGGCTAAATCACTTTGGCGATGGAGCCCTGAATAGCCAGAGGAGTGCTTAGGTGACTAAAACGACCCAGTGCAATCAGCCCAGGTCAGTCCAGGTTACTCCGGTTAGACGTCATTAAAACAGGTATTTATGTTGCTAGTACAAACCTTTGTCACGCAACAGCTGCAGCAAACCAGGGAATTGCGTTAATATTTGTTGGTAGCTTCACATCAGCCCGCTAGTTCTGTCTGAACATATTGACCCTCGGCCTCAAAAAGGGAGCTTATGCGCCGCCTCCCTTGAGGTTTCTGAGAATGCAAGTCTAGGATGTTGTGCAGTCGCACCCAATTTTGTGGTGGCCACTGGGGCACTTATGGCACCTGTTTTGACACCAAAAAGCGTGGTTTGAGCATTTCTGGTTTCTGATAAGAGACGGTTTTTGTGAGCATTGCATAACGATCCACGGCCGGCGCGGGCAACCGACGATTCTGTGGACCACGCGCGGAAGCCTGGCACCGTTTTTTTAACGGAGCCCAACATTGTAAATGTATGTTTAAAACAAATGAAGCTACATGCTATTGCTACCAGAGTTAAACAAGGAGTACACTTCTTTATGTTCCGTGGTGCTAGACGGTATGGTTTTGCACATACGCGCATGCAAAGCTGAAAGAGCCTAATTTTAAGGGAGCATTTGAACTTGACATGGTCTAGTGGGGTCTAGTCTGGTTAAGTCGACTTGGTCTAGTGGGCTCCCAAAATTTGTCACACAGCAAGTAGCAACATAAAACATATTACAGCACGCGAGATCTCGCTGCGAACAGTCCACTGCTTTACTTGAGGCTCTCATGCTTAGTATGAAAATGGCAGGAGTATCGCCCCCTCTCAGTCCTCGCCACGAACAACGGAGAATCGGGGTAAGGTTAACACCTTTGTTTACCACGCTTTTTTATTTTACACATGCTGATGTAAAAATCCGCATTTTGAGATCATGGAAACAAATAAGCTAGTACATCAGAATGACACTTTTCGTTATCAGCGTGCATACGTTGATGCTGATTAAATCAGCAAGCCACAATAGCCTTTTACGTACTAGGTAGCAAAGATATATAAGCAAGCCTGTGGTACTTGTCATGCATGATGCAGAAGTGTCAATTCAAATGATTTTTGGGGCCCTGTCCCTCTCCAATGCTTGCTATCGGAAATACACTGATTTGTCGCCGACCTGTCACCGAAGTGGGTGACTAACTAAATATATTAGGATAGTTTTGTCGCCGGGCTGAGATGGAGCTTAAAAAAGATACCATAGGCCTGTAGGGTACGATTACAGGTATTTACGGAAAGGCTTCGTGGTGTTATGGGATGAAATACATTACCATTGAAGCTCATGTAAAGTTGTGAAATCCACGCTCTAATGTTTTGTGGTGGCCGTCACCAAAACTGTAAGTAAATCTATTTTTTGGCATCGAGTGTCGTGTGAAAATAGACATTTTTGTCGCTGACCTTATCCACCAAGTCGGTAAGCTTTACCACCTCTCCTCTTGAAAAATGCTTTAATTAGATCGCTAGAAATTTTGCTCATGTCAATCTTTTCTAGAATTTCACATTTAATGCTTCTCATTGGCTCAGCCGACAAGCTTTTGCACAAAATCGTCTTTACAGAAAGCGAGGCCAGAACGCTGCTCGCTGAATGCTAGACCTGCTAAGCGAGTTGGGGCGCTTCGTGGTTCGATTGAAGGAAGGCTTACGCTCTTTCAGTTGAACGCATTTTAAAGTCGCGCCGCCTGAGAGCATAATCCCTGTCTTCGGAGGATCCCACCGCGGCGTAGGCAGGTGCTTAGTTCAGCGTCGCATAAACGCGCGAGTGCATTTTTGCATCGGCAATGTTCTCTCCACCAACTGACGCACACGCGGCAGATCAAAGCCCGCTGTGAGTCAGGCGGGGTAGGCCAGCTCTTCTGCGAAGCGGACTGCATCAGAAAACCTATGGACACTATGTAATTAATTGAAGAAATACCACAGGTCATCAGCAAATCATGGTGCGGAAATTTGGAAGACAGACGTGAGTCAAATAAAAGGGTAGCTGTCGCGCTGACCAGCTTGTGGCGCAGCAGGCCGGATGGGGAAGCTGAGACGGAGACCAACAATCTTGTCAGAAATGCCAGACGCAGAGGCTGCAACGTTGTGGACAAGGTCACTGGATACACATATGACGCTCCGTGTTACGTAAGAATGCCTGGAACAAAACACGATTGAGGAAGCCGCATGAAACTCAGATCTCTGTTGCACCATTGGTGCAATCCCGGTGGTCAGGAACTGGTGGTCACCATGCCACCAACACTCGTCTCGGAAAAGCCTGGAAATGTTTAATTATCATGGCATCATCCAAACAGCACACAAAAACAAACGCCAACGTAAAGCGCATCGAAGAACTGTGCGGATTGTCACACTAACGCGAACTAACACAAAGTCGATCACATCTCGTACATGGCTTGGTTTTCCGGACGCCAGCGCTGCGCTCTAATACCAGCTGTAGCCGGCGCGTGGCAGCCCATTTTCCAGTGGCGTCGCAGCTCGCCGCGGCGTGGCAAGACCTCCCCCTCCCCTCCCCGTCCCCCTCGCATCCCGCCCGGCGCGGCGTCGCCCGCCCCCTCGAGCGCTAAACGGTGGCTGCTGCCACTCCAGTGCCCACCGTCTGTCGCTTTTTGTGAGGCCGGCCCCGGAGCGGTGCCGGCGCGCCCGGCGACGTTCAACGAAGCGGCGGGCTGGCCCGGTGCGCCTCACCACAGGCTGCCAGCCGGCCAGGGTCAGATGGAGAGACGTGAACGCGCGTCACGTGAGCACCGGCAGTCATCCATCAGGCCGGGCTGAGCGTCCCGCCGGGTCTGAGCGGAGGCGGGAGGTGAGACGCCGACCGCAGCGACGTCAGTGCGGGCCACAGGGGTATCAGGGACGTCGGCAGGGACCAGGTCAGCGCTTAAGGAGACGTGGTGCCGGCCACAGGGGTATCAGGGACGTCGGCAGGGACCAGGTCAGCGCTTAAGGAGACGTGGTGCCGGCCACAGGGATGTCAGGGACGTGGGCAGGGACCGGGTCAGCGCTTAAGGAGACGTGGTGCCGGCCACAGGGATGTCAGGGACGTGGGCAGGGACCAGGTCAGCGCTTAAGGAGACGTAGTGCCGGCCACAGGGATGTCAGGGATGTGGGCAGGGACCAGGTCAGCGCTTAAGGAGACGTGGTGCCGGCCACAGGGATGTCAGGGACGTGGGCAGAGACCAGGTCAGCGCTTAAGGAGACGTGGTGCCGGCCACAGGGATGTCAGGGACGTGGGTAGGGACCAGGTCAGCGCTTAAGGAGACGTGGCGCCGGCCACAGGGATGTCAGAGGACGTCGGCAGAGACCAGGTCAGCGCTTAAGGAGACGTGGTGCCGGCCACAGGGATGTCAGAGACGTCGGCAGAGACCAGGTCAGCGCTTAAGGAGACGTGGTGCCGGCCACAGGGATGTCAGAGACGTCGGCAGAGACCAGGTCAGCGCTTAAGGAGACGTGGTGCCGGCCACAGGGATGTCAGAGACGTCGGCAGAGACCAGGTCAGCGCTTAAGGAGACGTGGTGCCGGCCACAGGGATGTCAGAGACGTCGGCAGAGACCAGGTCAGCGCTTAAGGAGACGTGGTGCCGGCCACAGGGATGTCAGAGACGTCGGCAGAGACCAGGTCAGCGCTTAAGGAGACGTGGTGCCGGCCACAGGGATGTCAGAGACGTCGGCAGAGACCAGGTCAGCGCTTAAGGAGACGTGGTGCCGGCCACAGGGATGTCAGAGACGTCGGCAGAGACCAGGTCAGCGCTTAAGGAGACGTGGTGCCGGCCACAGGGATGTCAGAGACGTCGGCAGAGACCAGGTCAGCGCTTAAGGAGACGTGGTGCCGGCCACAGGGATGTCAGAGACGTCGGCAGAGACCAGGTCAGCGCTTAAGGAGACGTGGTGCCGGCCACAGGGATGTCAGAGACGTCGGCAGAGACCAGGTCAGCGCTTAAGGAGACGTGGTGCCGGCCACAGGGATGTCAGAGACGTGGGTAGGGACCAGGTCAGCGCTTAAGGAGACGTGGTGCCGGCCACAGGGATGTCAGAGACGTCGGCAGGGACCAGGTCAACGCGTCAGGAGACGTGGCACCAGGACCGCCGTGCCGTGAATGCAGAAATACAAGGCGGCTGTAGCGAAGCCAAGGGAACGCCACTGTTGAAATGGAGGGGATGGGAGACCCGGAGCTGGCAAAGCCTTGAGCCTTGATGCATTGGGCTTCGCGAACGGTTGTAATCAAGGACGCGACAATGGCTGTGACGTCACCGGTGAAACACGGCAAATTCTGTCCTGCGGCAGGTCTGGGCCCAGATGAGTACCAGAGAACGCATCAAATGTGGGGGCCATGACGCTGAGCGGCCAGCGGGGGCTTGCGTCCTGTTATGCATTTTTTAACCCTTCAGCATTCCAGCCACGGCCTAAGTCGTTAATGCGATATGATACGATAGGGTTGGAGCACCAAATGTGCTGCGAGGGATGGGCAAAAGAGGACAGCGTAGGGCATCGCTTTGCAAGTTGCGCTACTACCGCAACTGCTCTTTTGGCGGTTACCAGCTGCGTTACAACTATGTTAACCGGACGATGCAGGAATTAATCACTTCAATGCTGGACCCATGTCGTTCGAGGCACTGCTGCAGTTTAATTTTCACTTGAGCCGAAATTGAGGCTGGAGCTTAATTAACACCGACTGCTGGAGCGAGCAGCTACACGACCTGACCTTTCCATCACTCCCCCACCGCGTGCATAGGAGACAGCGTGTCCCTCTGACACTTGCGAGCCGTGTGTTGCTCCGCTCCGCGGCCGTGTTTCAGCAGACCGACAGCTGACGAGACCGCGGGCTGTCAGAATTGCGCATCGACTGGCAGTCTAGTTCACGCCCCGCCGACCAGGTGTCGCTTCGGTCGCAGGCCGTCGTCGCCGGTTGTCGGCTGAGCGAGCCGCCTCGGTGACATGAAGCGGAAATTGACCGGCGCTGATTCAAATGTGGAGCGAACAGGACCCTGTCAGCGGCCTATTGGCCCGACGATGGAGGTATTTTGCACACTTGGTGGTGCGATTACCCCTCTTGAGGATGGCTGTCAGCTACCCTGTTTTGGTATAGGTGCTACCAGCAACACAACGTGATGTGTCGTGGACTTGGACATTTTGTCAATTAGAGCTAGTGACAGCACACCTTTACCAGGCAACGTTTGCAAATTTCACCGAACGAGGATTTCCAGGCCTTTTCCTTGAATTTCTGCGTGGTGAAAGTGGATATTTACAAAAATGCAGTTTTTTTACAGATAATGCTTTGACGACTATTTGTTCTATCGTTAAAATTGATCGCTTAGACCATAATGTGATGAATTCGAGGTTGTCTTTGGAAAAGGTGGCATTGACTGCTTCCTGTTCATTGACTGCCTGAGTGCTTTGTTCGGGCGGGGTCGATAACGAATAGTGATTTATAGACAGTACCTTCACCTTTCCTTTCGTTCCACGCACTGCTTGATGCGCCCTGATCTCCTTTTGTTGCAGAAATACAACATAAATTCTTAAAACACCCAAAATCTGGGAACGCATGCTGTTATGTACACATCGGTATGCACCTTCGCCAGAACGATAATCCATTTTTATCCTCCACTAGGGTGAATAATCTTCATGCCGCTGCGAAGTCAAGTCGTTAGAATGTGGACCCGTTTTGTACAATTATTCTTCAGTTTGTTTTCAAGACGATAGTTCTACATTTTTTCACGATGCTCGAATGGGAAGGTCACATCGTGGCCATGTTGCAGCGCTGCAAAGTTGTTGAGTACGCTTGCCACTTAGATATTCTTCAACAGCACAAACCACATCGACGGGTCGCAACATGTCTGCAAATAAATACTTGAATGCATAAGTTGGCGGGCAATTCTTATTAAGTTATTAGGTCAAACCAAAGTTGGAAACCGCATATACTCAAGTAAATGCATCTATATATGTTCTAGTCTAGTTTCTAACTATAGTTCTATTCATGCCAAAGCCGAATTAAGCTGCATTCCGCTTGAGTTTCAGTTGTGATGAATCCACGAATTAGGGCTGCATTTAAACGCTGAAAGATTTGTCTTCAGGTTGCTGGGGGAATGCCGAAGTGAATATGTTATAATGAGATGGAAAGGCACGATAAATAGCTCAATCCAGGATTTGGCCATCAATGAAGTTAGGTTCACGTTGAACTAACGCAATCATAAAAGTTTCAGTGCTCGAAGTTCGTGCCCAGCTTTAATGTCCGTCATAGTTCCGCACGACTCAGTGGTTGTGGCCGACAGCAGCTTGTGGACCATTGCGCTTGTATTTTGCGGCAGCTCCACGCATCGCGAACTGCTGGTTCGGCGCCAGCTGCAGACGGAAATCGTACGTTGGTTTCGAGCAGACAAGTACATGGCTCAACAGCCCCAGTGATGTAGCATGCTAAAACCCCGTTGGAACGTCCGCAAGACCGGTGTCCCGAGTACCATCCACGCTTCACATATACACAATACTGTCGGATCCATCTTGGCAGCCCGCACCCCGTCTGAGCACCAACAGGGCTCCCCTCCAACGAGATGGCGCCTTCATCTGTCTGAGCAACCTACGACGCGCCGAAAAAGCTCTCGTTCTCCGTCAACAAAAGGTTGGTTAACTCGATTCCCCGTGGGCCGTGAGATTTACGTTAATCTTCTGGGAGGGAAGTTCCGCCCTAGCCAGATGTCTCGAGAGCCGCTTGTCCAATTTTGATGTGACAGGACAACATTCAATTTAAGTCTCAACGAGATTCTCACTGTTGGAGCCGCAAAAATGGAAAGTTGCGAGAAAGAGGGCAAGAGAAAACAAGCTACAACATTTTTAGGTTTTTGTAAAGACACCTTTTATGCTTAGTTACGAATCTTTAAAGTAACGGACGTTGTTTCGTTTGGAACACACATATATCTTTATTATCAAGATATCCCATCTATCATTCATATTTCTTATACCCAAAGCAGACTTACGTCTGCAACAAAAACTTTGGATGGATCCAGCGCGGAAAAGTGGATGATGTTTTTAAAGAAGGAATTCACGCCGTTCCGTCTTCAGTGGGAGGTCTCAGGTGACACTTGTGTTTTTTATCATATCGGACACATCTTTGAATGCACAGTGATAAGCACGACAGCACGAATGCACAGTGGTGCTCTTCCACCCAACATTACCCGAGTGCTCTTCTGCCAAATATTTGTGATGAATATTCATCTAAGGTTATCAAGCGAGATTGCAAACTTAACCTTCTCGAGACAAATTCTCAGCAAAATGTTGACACCCGCCTTCCAGCCTTTCTGAATGGTGACCAGCTTATGAAAAGATCTGGTCACCGGCCAACCGTGTTTTTAGCCCTGTGTCACGGTGACCTCAAATGGAAACTTTTGTCGTAGCTGAAGCACGACTCAATCAGTCAGCGACCTCGCCCGTAAATGACATCCAAACAGAGTATCCTGATGTTTCGTTGTTGTGCATTACGCGGACCATTTGAGTGAGGGCAAATCACTTATGATACCATCAAGCAGATTACCTTTCCGGTCTTGATATCGCTCGTCCGCCTGTGAACTGCTTAATGCTTTTGTGGCGTGGTATTTGCCCTCATGTACTTGCTGTTAATAGTGCAATTTGTCAGCACACATAGTCCGTTGATGCATTTGCACAGTTTGCAAAAAATGCGCTGCCGCTAGGTAGCCTGCTACTGGGCATTGTGACCAGGCGAGTCACTCTTGTTCGTGGTGCATAGAACCATTACGCTGAACTACGATGCGTACCTAGTTCGGCGTTGGTGGCCACGCGATTAACGGAGTACTGAGCCCACAACCTGCGAGCAATTAAGGCAGGCCGGCGTAGCAATCAGAGTTATCTAATTACGCAACTCCGACGCCCGATTGCTTCCATATCAGAAGATTGTAATGAAACTTTCCTGCTCTTGGAACCTTTAATGGGCGTTGCGCGCCAGCTACCAGAGTTCTAAAAGTGCCAAGGCGTAGTCGGACGCCCGAGAGCTCAGCTTTGACCTAATGTTTGTTCAGTTCGCACCTGCCCAACAATCCGCTTCCCCTATCGCTATCTCATTCGCACTCACATTCATGTCCCTTTTCCTATCCCTATCACGTCGCAACACCTGGCGCATTGTTCGCCGTATGATGCCACCGGGTGTTGGGCGGCTTAACCCAGGTGTGGTGATATCCCTCCACCCACTTCCCACCGCTGCTGAAATGGTGCAACACAGCTGTGCAAATCCGGCAAATCACGTGGCGCATTGCACGCACACACGTGATGGACGTGCGCATTCACAGTGTGATTGTCACCGAGT